ATCCGATCACTAGCCAACAATATCCACTAACTATCCGAACACAAGAAGCACCGAAGTGAGCCGTGCGGCGGAAAGAAAGGAATTGGAGCGCGCGAGCGGGGCGCCCTTTTATCCCCTGCCGGGGCTGGGCGGGGTTACCGCCAAAACTTCAAAAGTTTCAAAAGTAGAAGTTTTCCGTTGGAGCCCGCGCAGGCGCAGTCTCTCCACAAGTGTGCATTCGCAGAGACCATGAAGAAAAAATAATTTTAGACCAGAAATGGGCAACAGCAACCACATTTTTCCCAGTTCCAACAGACCTCACCTCTGAGGATGCAGGTGAAACATCAGGAGAAATGCCTCTAGAACATGGCCATATAGCCCGAAAAAACCCACAAGAACTTAGTGATTCCAGCCATGAAAGCCTTCGACAATACATAGCAACCACATTGTCTGTAGCTTTAAACAATTCTTCCTCTGTGCATGAGGCAGGACTGTGGGCAAGCATAGAGATGCGAAGTTGTTTGTTATGCTCCACAGTCATACAAGGCAGATAAGAGCTGATGGAGAGTTACAGTCCAACAAAAGCTGGAACATTGAAAAAGTCTTTGTGAGCATATTGCTGTCATATGTATAAAAGCATTTGGAAAGATGCTTGATCCCTGTATTATTTACATTGTTCAAAGTTAACAGGAATCATCATGTATCCTTTTTATTTTAAAAAAATTGGTCATGTAATGAGGCCACTCCTTTACTCACTGAAAAGTGGATATGAGCACAATTTCACTGGGAACAGGGCTAGAATCACTAAAAATATGGGCTGAAGTTGTGGTGGTACCATGGGCAACAGTCCTTAGACATTGTTTAAACCATGTTTACTTGTTGCTTGATATGTTTTATCTGGATGTTTTATCTGGAGCTTGGAAGAATTATTTGGCTGGTCAAGGATTCTGGGAGTTGTAGTCTAATAAAGCAAATGTGCCAATCTCTGTCTTATTTCATGGTATTATAAGATATCAAGGTAACCATCACAAATGATCTTAAAATATCAAGGTAGGGAGTGGCTTTCTGGGCCTTTAAAAGCTTGTGAATCTTTGTATTCTTCCTACAGAATGCCTTTCTTTGTTACTGAAGCTTAAAATGACACTGCTGTGTTGATGTCTGTATACATAACAGATAACCAATATATAACTCACTTTTATTCTCTAGTGCAGATGTCTCATATCTGTTATCCCTTTCAGAATTTTACTGCTCAGCGTAGCCATAATGTCTCTGTATTCGGTTCATCTACTACTGAAGACATCCAAAGAAGGAGGTATGATATGTTTCCAAATCTGTAGTGGGGCAGGTTCATTTTCCAGGCTGGCTCACAATATTTTCATGATGGAATGGGATTCCCAAAAGTAAATTTTCCCAGACTCTGGTCATAACTCATAGTTTGTTGCCATTTCATGACACTCCTCAAAGCTATTGCTTGAAGAGGTCATTCTGCTCTTGCTAATGGTGGGTTTGGCCCTCTCATTTTGGTTGGGCATATCCCAAATGAGAGGACAAAAATGCAAGAGCCAGTAGGATTATTTATAATACCAGACAGGAAGGAAGCCAGATATCTACTGCTGAACTATATTACTATGGCGATGCCACACTATAATCACAACACAGTTAAAGTTAAATCATTTTCTCTCCTGATGACTTCAATAGAATGGACTTGGGAATATGCCTAACCTTTTTATTGGAATTAATTTTCAAAATCAATAGATCTTTATTTTGGTATAGATCACAGGTGGGAAAATGTTTCTTGTAGGCCTCATGTGGACACAAATATGTATTTGTGGTCCCAGGGCCTCCAACTGTCCAATTTTCTCAAGAAATTTTTTAAAAAGAAGAACATGCTCCCAAAGCAGTGGGGGAACATGTTGATAGGTGCTAGGCTGCATTTGGCCCAGGTGAGGCCCTTTTTCCAAAAGTGACTTGAGATAGCTTTTCATAGGCCTAAAATGACCTGGGGGGGGGGTCCAGGTTTATTCGATGTTTAGACCATATGTCTTTCACATATAAAGCAAATAAATAAATACATGACCCAAGGGTAAAACATGGCACAAAAGGATATTTGGGTGGGGAGACTTGGATGGTATGGCCCTCCAAGGGCCTCTGGATGGGTAATTTGCCACCCTTATCTCCAGTAATTACTTATCCCTGGTTTAGACCATATCTATTCATCCTAGTAACCTTCTGAAGATGCCATTTTAAAGGATCCTGTAAACTTACATCAATTAAAATATCTGTAATAGATTTTATCTTCTGTTGTTCTTAGGATCCCTAATATATGAAAAATTAGGCGAAAAGGCATTTGGATGGCCTGGAAAAATTAGTGCTTTCATTTCTCTTACAATGCAGAACATTGGAGGTAAGCAGGAAATGACCTTTTTCATTTGTCTCACAATAACCACAGGATATGTTGTGTATTGTTGATGCCATAATGGTCATAGCTACTGTGTGGTAGATAGAAATTCACAATTATGTGTTCAATATTGTACATGGCTAGTTGAATGAAATAGATACTACACTGAAAGCTAATTTTAGTTACCATACAAGGAAAAACTAAAAAGGACATTTTTTGTATGTTTAAAGGCTTAAACTGGATATAAAATGTGTTGTCTTGTAAAATTTTTCAGGCTTATATTGCTGCTGTAGTATTTTATATTTTGCATTCTTGGCGTGTTTTTATTCATACATGTTTGGTGTTAAGAAGTAGGGTTAGATCCACACTAATATTGGCTTAGCTTCCATTGAAGTTAATGTATTCTGATCATGACTGCATTTTCACATGGATTTCAGTGGGACTTAAAATTGTAACTAGCTTGCATTTTCATTGCATGCATGTTTATTGAGAAGTAGGCCTTACTGGATTCAATGGGTGTTGTTCCCATGTGTGCATCACAGCGTCTACATTCTCAAACACACTTATTAGAAGATGAATTTAATTCTGCTTCCTGGTATCCACATCCGAGAAAACATTTATACTATTTAAGTGTAAACTTCATAGGCAAAAATAGGACAATATAGTGAAATAACATAAAAAAACATAAAAAAGAGACATCTGGGTTCCCCATTACACAATATAATATGCAATAATAAAGGATTCAGGTTTAACCAAGAATCAAAACCAAATAGGAAGAAAAGATTAGAATAAACTGAATTGAGATTAGATATTGGGTCAGTGTAGGAAAAACAAGGCACAATAATTTGATCCATCTTTTCTTAATTCCACTAGAATATCCCCCTTATTTCCAATATTTATTTATATCCTGGTTTTTTCTCCCTCAGAATAGAAAGGTGGCTAGAGGATTATGAATGTTTGGAATCAAAACTGATATGTATACAATTTCCATGTAACTGAATATTTTGAAAATTTACTTTTATTGGAAATGGAATGCAGTGCCTTTGGATGTCCCTTTACACCCTAAATTAATATATTTGTCATTTCAGCAATGTCGAGCTACCTCTTTATCATTAAGTATGAACTCCCCGAAGTTATCAGAACATTTTTAGGCCTTGAAGAGAATTCTGGGTAAGATTTTGTTTATGTATATATATGATATCACCCACCCAATGGTAAACTTAACAGAACTGATTAATACATGGTTATTTTATTTTTGCGTTCTAGGGAATGGTATCTTAATGGAAACTACCTCGTAATATTTGTGAGCATTGGAGTTATCCTTCCACTTTCCCTTCTAAAGAACTTAGGTAGATATTTTTCTAACAAAAATGCATTTTAGTTTATCTGTATTAGACATTTTTGCATGTTTATTAATTGTGCATTCTGTTACTGTTTTTGAAGGATATCTTGGCTATACAAGTGGATTTTCGCTAATGTGTATGGTGTTCTTTCTGAGTGTGGTAAGTAATATTAACATATGCATGACATTATACTGTAAATGCAAAAGATGCTTGATGTATATGGACAATAGCTCCATCTACCAACAGAAGCTGCTTATATATTTTCATATATTAATGAATAACAATCCCATCCTATTGGCCAGCTTAAACTTTAAAAGAACCAAGTAATCGTGTGTGCCATAGCAGAATAACGGATCAGGAAGTAGGGCATTATTAATGTACTGTATATACTCAAGAAAAAGCCAAATTTTCAGCCTTTTTTTAGGCTGAAAAAGCCCCCCTCAACTTATACCTGAATCAAGGTTATTTATTATTTTATTCTGTTGTTATTATTTTTATTTATTATTATTATTATTACATTTACATTATTTTACTCTTATTATTATTACATTTTTTATTTTACTCTATTATTACATTTTCATTTTTTACTCTCTTTATTATTATTGCAGGGATATGTAAGCACATTTACATTGAAGAAGGTTAGAAAAATTGTTTAATCAGAGTTGGACAGTCTTATCTTAAATTACAGTTTTATGTAAATATTCATAAACCTTTAACCTACTGATGCCTCAATTAATGTAATTTTATTGGTATCTATTTTTATTTTGAATTTACCAGTAGCTGCTGCATTTCCCACCCTCAGCTTATACTTGAGTCAATATTTTTTCCCAGTTTCTTGTGGTAAAATTAAGCGTCTCGGCTTATATTCAGGTTGGCTTATCCCCAAGTATATATGGTATATCAAAGTGGTAAAGGAATGGGTAATTACTCCAAGTTTAGACAACATGATGCAAAGATATTGGAATGGTTCCTGTTCCCAACAAACCATAAGTTGAGCCTCATTGAATTTTTTATCATATGGCTGTGCAATAACTGAGCAAAAAAGCATGATAGCGTAATTGTGATCAAGATGGTATTCACTGCAGTATAGAGTATCACCAATAACCTATTCAGATACATCATTTAAGATGAATGGTAATAATACCTATAGAGAGATTGAAAGTGTTGCTGACTTTAGCTTTGCAATCTCCTGATGCATATTTCTAATCTTATTTTAGGTGATCTACAAGAAATCCCAAATCCCTTGTCCATTCCCACACTTGGACAATAACATTGGCAACTGGTCCTCCAATGGCTCCACAGTTCCATTACATATAGTAACGCTACCCAATGACTCTGCTAATTCGGACCTCAACTTGATGATGGATAATGCCCACAAGCAGTATTCAAGTTTTGAAGAAAACAGCAATAAACTCCACCAAAATGGGGTCAAATATGAAGCCCACGAAGAGGAGGATGACATGTGCCGACCCAAGTATTTTGTATTTAACTCACGGGTAAGATTCTAAATTTACGTAGCAAAAAAAATGCCTACCAGCCTCCTTTGAAAGTTTTTGGGCATGTGTGGTCAATCTATCCCAAATACTGTTTCAGCTTGAAACATACAAGTCTTGTTGAATACCCTGTCCAAAACCCTAGACATCCTGTTTTATACAGGACATCCTGCATTTGGGGGTTTAAAGTCTAGTCTCATATTGTGGTTTTACAGGATGCTCCAACTCCCATATCCTTAGACATACAACAGCTATTAGATATTAGGGCTGGGCAACCACGGAAAAATTTGTTTCTAAATCGATTCGTTTTTAGGGGGTTTTTGCGTTTTGTTTTTTAAAAGAATTCCGAAATTTTTCTTTAAAAAAGTTCGATATTTACGAAATTTCGGAAATTACGAAACAATTACGAAACAATTACGAATCGATTCGTTAATGGCGGACGCGACCGCGCAATACGCTAAAAAACCTCCAAATGGGACAGGGGGAACTTCTGAAGCTTCCCTCTCCCTCTGTTGTTGACTGTTGGTGTGATATTATAATTTTTTTTCACTAATTAAACAAAAAACAACTATAAAACTTGCCCCAGACATACGGAAATAATAACGAAACGACCTCAAACCGATAACGAAACGAATACATAACGAATCCGAAGCATTTACTAAACGAATTTAAAAATTCATTTCATTTTTAAGTTGCTCCAGAATGGTTCGTTATCGCTTCGTTATCAAAAAAATAATGAATTTTTAACGAATTACGAATTAACGAAACGAAACCGCCCAGCCCTATTAGATATGCTTCCAGCAGACTGACTCCTGAACATTTGGTACACAGCAACCAGACCAAATGCTGTAGTCTGTCTCCTAGAATTATGACAGCATGGCATTGCTCTTCCTTCTCCTCTCTGGGCAGCCACATGAGTGGATATAGTCATTGGCTACACCCACAACTGACCAAACCCATAGTATTTGGTACAAATCAAAATAGCCTCAAATTATATGTCAACTATTTTGGCCAAGGCTCATTTGTTGTGCATGTGATTGGCATGTGCTCTCCCACTCAAATCTCCAAGGGTAGATCTACACTGCCATATAAAATCCAGATTATCTGCTTTGAACTGGATTATATGGCAGTGTAGACCCATATAATCCAGTTCAAAGCCAATAATGTGGATTATCTGATTTAATAACATGGAGTATATGACAGTGTAGATTCAGCTCAAGACCATTCAATAAAAGTGAGTGGTGACGCAGGTCATACCTCAAATCACACAAGATTTTTTTACATGACACTTGAGTAACTAGTGTTACTCTACCAACTAGTTTAGCAACAGAGAGTACTGCCTTGTCATTCCTGTTTGGAAACCTAGCATACCTGGTCTTTTACAAGGCAGTGGGCCCTGTCTCATTTTTACATGAAACACCCAAACGACACCTCAGGTAAAAGCAAATTAATGCAGAGTAAACCAGGTTTTCACAGTTCATGCTGCATTAATTAGGCACCTCTAAAGATCTGGACCATTACCTAGGGTCCAGATCTTTAGAGGTGAGGGTCTTGTGGGGATGGACTCCCAGGACTGCTTTTGCAGTCCCAGAGTTCAGTCCCCACAGCCATCCTGCATCTTTAGGCTCTCAAAAGGCCGGAGGAGAAGGATGGTGCCGCCCTCCCCACCCAGCCCCCCATTTAGCCCCCCAAACATACTGGAGCCCCCTACACCTCCTGATGCATAATTTTCTTGCATTATGAGGGCTGTATAGAGAGAGGCCTGCATTCTCTCTATACCTCAAACCCCTGCAGTAGGTTTGGAAGGCGAAATGAAAGTCTGGAGAGGATCCCATCTAGCCACCCCGCCCAGGAAAGTCTGGGTTTGCATTGGGTGTGGGGACTGAAACTTGAGAGGAAGCATGTTGTTTTAACACACTTCCTCTCGGGTTTTAGTATAGTGTAGAAGGACCTTGTGGGGAGCCTCTGGTGGCACAGTGGGTTAAACCACTGAGCTGCTAAATTTGCTGTCCGAAAGGTCAGTGGTTCGAATCTGGGGAGCAGGGTGAGCTCCTGCTGTTAGCCCCAGCTTCTGCCAACCTAGCAGTTCGAAAACATGCAAATATGATAGATAAATAGTTACAGCTTCTGCAGGAAGGTAATGGTGGTCCATGCAGTCATGCCAGCCACATTACTTTGGAGGCATCTACAAACAATGCCAGCTCTTTGGCTTTGAAATGGAGATGAGCACCACCCCCCAGAGTTGGACATGACTAGACTTAATGTCAAGGGGAAATTTTTACCTTTTAGAAGGGCCCTGTGTCTTCTCTTTTTCCTCCTTGCATAGTGATTAGTGGTTTGCAGAAGCAGCACACAGTAACTATTCCCAGAAGATTATTTCTTAATAAGGTTCTCGGCTATGAAAAGAGAAGATAGTATGAATTAATTATTAGTTAATTAGTTATCATTCAGTTATTCCCATAGCTTCTCATGCAGTACTTCTGTCTTAGCCAGAGCTTTGTCTGGACTAATTGCAACATTGAGCTAGTCATAAAATGCAATAAACAGAATTGACATTCTCCACTGAGAAATAAAAATGCTAACCGGGGCTGGTGCCCATTTTTCCTTTTAGACTGCCTATACAATACCAATCCTCGCATTTGCATTTGTGTGCCACCCGGAAGTATTACCCATATACAGTGAACTGAAAAAGTAAGTCTGTTTCTTTTAATTTTTCTGCATAGAGAGCGTGGAAATTTTACTGCTTTGAACTACCACTCCCAGAATCCTACAAGCCAAGCTGACTGAAGGATTCTGAGAATTGTAGTCCAGGACAGAAACATTTTCACATTTTGTTTTGTATATTACTCAGTTTTTTCAGTTGCTTGGCATTAGCACATAATTCACAAATGTACAGTATTTCCTCTTTATAAATCAGTTATTGCTAAGCTGTCCTATTTAGTGATTGCATTTGCTATTCTCTTCATATTGTGTGTACTCTTTAGATGTTTCTGTTTTATACTCTGTACCAGCTGATAGGGTTTTCTTGGGTTTTTCTTTCTTTTGCTTGATTTGTTCTTTCTGGAGAAAATAGGGTGTGTAATTCTGTGGATGTGTAATGGAAGATGCTAAAGAAGAGAACAGCTTTGGTGTGAAAAATAACCATACATCCATTTTCCTTGTCCATTTATTTAGCTATATGCAAGAATAGTGGATAAACAGCATTTTCAATTTTTTTTAATGTAAGAAATAGATAAATTTCTGAATCCCCCCAAAAGGATACATGTTTTTGTATATCAGGGTACCATAGTTTTGTGAGGGATAAACCATTTTCTACCACCTCATAGAATTACAGTTCCCAGAATTCTTTGCAAGACATCTTAGTTTAAAACACATACCAGTAATGGGTAGTGATTGCCTCTCAATTTAGAACTAGAAGTAACTGGAAACTGAAATATGTACACAGAAGAAATGATCAGGAATACATTTTCTATAAAGGCCTTTGAGTCGCCTGAAGCTGGTTGGTCTTTTGGGAAATGTCCTTGCTTTTTGTTCATGTCACAAATACAGGTAATAGTTAACTGTACTGCATTTTTTTTCCAGCCGATCTCGAAAACGGATGCAAAATGTTTCTAACGTCTCCATCACTGGCATGCTTATTATGTATCTACTGGCTGCTCTGTTTGGCTATCTTACTTTCTATGGTGAGTTGAAGCTGATCTCCAGATCACTACAGAATTCAATTACTCCTAATTTTCACATATTTTCCATTGAAATATACTTCCCCATGCTGAAGCAAAAATTCGAGTTCCTCCAGAACTGCAAACACTATCTGTCAAAAACGGTCAAGGAACAATATCATCTGTGTGCAATTTCTTCAGAGTATCATCAATCAGATAGAAATTGTAGAAGAAAAATATAAAAGAATGTTTCCTTGATTCAAGAACAAACAACCTGTTGCTACTTTGTGAAAGCTATTGGGTTGAGCGTCATGAGACAGTTTTATATTTTGTTGAACTGTACAGTGTATTGGTGAAAACACTTGAAGGACAAAAAGAGAGTCCTCTCTACAACAGTGAGACTTCTTCTCAAACTGGATGCCTAGTTTGAACTGTTTTGAATGCTGAATTTATAGCAACCATATACATTCTAAGAAAGCTTATATTATCATCCCTTCGGGTTAGCAAAAACAATACAAAGAGTAGATATAGACATTTTCTGTAGTCTTCAGCATGTCAACATGTCAACAGCATGTCAACAAAAACCAAGGACATGTGCACAGAATCTGTGAAAGAATTTCAGGAGATCTTTGACACAGCAAGATCAGTGGTGGAATCTATGGGTGGACAAGTGAAGGTTCCTTGCATCTATTCAAGGCAAACTTATAAAAGCAATATCCAGGCAACTTCACCAACACCAATGGAATATTATAGGCTAAATATGTACATCCCATTTCTGGACTTTTTCTACAATCAGCTTTGAAGAAAAGTTTATAAGGCTCTGGGAAGTAGTTCAGGAAAGATTTTTTTCAAATTTCTCCAACATTGTCAGTGTCAACATCTACAAACTAAAGGTTGTTTTAAACTCTTAAATATTTGAAAACATACTTAAGAAACACCATGGGACAAGAAAATCTGATTGAACTTGCACTCTTGAGTGTCCACTGAAGTTTATTGATGGAGCCTGATTTTCTGGCTTTGGGCCTGTGCAAAATGTCTAGAAAAAGACATTTTACTCTATGAAGAAATGAAAATGTAGTACCTCCTCCCATTCTCACATAGGGATACTGGACTGCAAGTTGTATCCTTTTTCAGTAGAACATTGTACTCTACCATTTCTTAAAGCAGTATACTAGTATCAAGAATATTCTTCACCATCTCACTGTCATTCCTTAGCATTGCCATTCCTCAGCATCTGTTCTATCCAGAGCCTTGTAAACTAATGGCAGGAAGAAAGCTGATATCTTTAAATTTGGCCATGACTCCACTTAGCTTAACCAAAGTTGGGCCCGTTATGCAAGTAAACACTGCCAACTATGGTTAGACATTATTTTCAAACTACTTCTAGAATTGCTGAAAAGTGTATTTGAATTCTCTGGTTGGTTAAACTAAAATGTGTTTATTCTGTTACTGTTATGAATGTCTTTATGAATGCATTGTTATGACTCTGAGAATGAGCAAACATAAGATTGCCTGAAAAAACTTACTTTGATCTTTTCTTCTTTTTTGTGCAGGTGAGGTAGAAGATGAGCTGCTTCACACATACACCAAAGTGTATAAGTTTGACACTCTGCTTTTGATGGTCCGCCTTGCTGTACTTGTAGCTGTGACCCTGACTGTACCTATAGTCCTATTTCCAGTAAGTTGAAAGGCAATGTATTGAGTTTTCTTCAAACAACCCATATTTGAGAATGCTGAAGAAGAAAAACAGGAAGACAAGAGTAATAAGGACAGTGACCAAGCTTCAGACAAAAGGCTGAATGCCACATTTTGCAACCAATATCTTTTTATCTGTTTTAAAATAGAATTTTAAAGTGCTATGTTATTAAAATATCTATTATAAAAGATGTTGGGTTGCTGTGAGTTTTCCAGGCTGTATGGCCATGTTCCAGAAGCATTATCTCCTGATTTTGTTAATTAAGGGAAAGGAATGTCAGTTCTCTATTTTCATCCCTCTTTTGAAGTGTCCTATAATCAACCAAATCATCCACTCGCCTTCTGTTAGTCTAATAGCAAAGAATTCTGACATTCCCCAGTTTTGGAGCAACTCAGAAGTATGCACCTACTAGTTGCCCATACAGCCAGACATGGCACTTACTTCTGTATATTATGTTCACAGAGGTGATTAAGTAGGAAACCTGATTTGCTGACAGTTGCCCAACAATGCATGTCAGATTCCCAACAATGCTTGCCTCTTGTATTATCGCACCTTTCAGCAGCTCTGGGTTTCTCAAGTTAGGCTTACATGAACTATCCCTTTTGCAGTCCTCATGTTCAATAATTATAATGTCCTAATGTCTCCCTTACAAATACTGTGTTTATGGACAACTCCCAGAATCTAAAGTGCTGGCTATTAGGTTCAGGAAAACAGTAAGATTCCTATACTTTACTCATAATGGAAACATTATAGAAATGATTTGAAGTAGAGCTGCAATTCGCAAAACTTCCACGGATTTCTGAAAGTTCTGATTCGACCCTGACATGCTCACAAAGGTGCCATTTTTGCCGCTTGCCTTCTGCACATTTTTCTTTAGCTCTTCGGAGGCCTTCAGTGTAACACTATCCCTTCTTGCCTAGTGGATCTGCTATTGACCTTTTACCCACTTGTCTCTGCAAGTAAAAAGGCTGGAGAAATACTGTTCAAGCCTGGAATGTTTACATGAATTCAGCAGAGAGACTTGAATATTTCCACATTTGTAGATCAAATGATTGAGTGAGTGAAATTTACACTGTCCCTTTTTAACACTGACAGCAAACATGTCTTCTTTTTTAATAGCTCACAAGCACTTTTTCAGAAAGTTTATCTATTTATGTATTGCTGAATATGTATAGCTGCTTTGTAAGAGAAGTTTCTAACATTGCTTTTACAAATGCATTAATTAAAAAAACAGAAATAAGGAAGGTATTCTGGTTTTCTGAGTGGACAACTTGTGGCCATCCAGATGTTGTTGGATTGCTACTCCCATCATGCCTCACCATGCACTATGGTAGATGGGACTGATGGAAAGTGTAATCCAGCAAAATCTGGAAGAATGCAAGTTTCTCACTGCTGAGATACATAGATATACATATAGATATAGATATATAATATTTTGTAGGAAATTCTTAATTTACTTAATTTAACTGATAAAAATATTGAGATACAATTTTGTTCATTCTTTACAGATCCGTACATCAGTTATTGCACTTTTGTTCCCTGGAAGACCTTTCAGTTGGATAAGACACTTTCTAATTGCAGCTGTTATACTTATATTCAATAATATTTTAGTCATCTTTGTCCCTACTATTAAAGACATCTTTGGATTCATAGGTATGTATTAATAGTGGGGAATCCTCATTCATTTTCTTATTTTTGCATTGGCAAGAAAAATTATTATTTGAAAAACCTGGTTTTGTTATTTACAAAGATAGTTTTGATTCAGTTTACAATACTCAGTGAGAAAAAAAAGGATCATTTCCCAATTCCAGTCTCAACAAGCATTATTTTCCACATTGACACTAGTGTGTGTTTTTACCCCTGGTGGTCCTTAACTGGGGAGAGTAAAATGAGGGAAGATAAGAATCCAATCCCCCATGTTTTCCTTTATTCCCCAAATTTCTAGCATAATAGTATCTTGAAACTTCAGCATAAAAATATTGTTTAGGCATTCAGAGGTGAGGTCTAGGCAAAATTATCAAGGAAATGTAAGCATTGTGTGAACAATGTTCAGTGTCTCATTCTTTGCAATACTAGAAATTTGTGGAATGAAGGAACATTTCATTTTGCCACCCTCAACGGGAGAGATAAGGAAGATAAATCCTCCTACAATCCCAATCCAGACTGGGTCTCTAAATTCTGAGCTATAAATTTGTTTTAAAGTATCTCTTAAGCTATATATTGTCTATTTAAAGTAATACATTGTTTGACCCTTCTGGCCAGTTTCAGATATGATCAACTATTAGGTTCCAGCCTTGTTCCCAGAATCAGTAGATGAGGTGGTAAACCTGTTTTGCCTCTTGCAGTTGCATCAAGATAACAAAGCAAGCCCTGCGCATGCAACAATGAGATACCAAAGGAAGATACTTTGTGTCTGACATGTTAGCTGGAATCCTATTGGTGACAGAAATGCATGCATCTTGGGGGTTATATGTGTGAACAGTGCACAAGGAGGTATTCACTAGTCCCTTGTGTACTGCCCAAGCCCTACCCCCAGGACAAAATCTAACATTTACTGATAAAAAAATCAGAATTTGCAAGACTTGCTAAACAGGCTGATTTTCTTTTTTATTAAGTACAGCTGAAGCAGTTTCTGCAGAGTCTACTGCACATTGTTACATGCACATTGTTGCATGTCAATGTCTAAAACCTCCACTAGGTGACATTCAGAAACTTTTTTATTTGTTACCAAAAATTTTTTGCAATCCCAACATTGAGATAATGGAGCCCCATTTGGGGTCAGGACCCGTAGATTAAAAAGCTGCACTCTAGATCAGCTAAGTACCTGCTACCTTAGTCCTGATCCAACCCATCTCAGTCTTGATTTGCCAAGCAGCTGTTGCTTATAACAGCAGTCTGTTCTCCTGTCAATCATTACATCAGGATTTGTGGACTTTTCTGGGCCATGAATACAAACTAGTCACAAATGTGTAACTCTAGGTTATGATTCTGCAATTGCGGTTGTGAATTCCATTGAACAACTATAACCCACAGATTCTTTTTTTTAAGACTTTCCTCTTTTAAATTAAGGAGTAATGACATGTTTTTCTTCTGGCAGGTGCTTCTGCTGCCACTATGCTGATCTTTATTCTTCCTGCTGCCTTCTATCTCCGAATTGTCAAAAAGGAGCCTTTCAGGTCACCTCAGAAGATTGGAGTAAGTAGACTAGAAGTTATTCATGTTGTACTGTCCCTTATCCACAGCTTTTATATCCATGGCTTCACATATCCAGACTCCCCAAAATATACTCCCCACCCAAGTGTTTGTGGGTCTTTCTAAATCCTCTGGTGCATGCCTATGCTTTTCACTTAAGTATGCTCACCAAAATAGAATGTTTGCTTTTCTCCAGTTTCAGATATTCATGGGGATGGGGACAGAGAGATATGGGGCTGTATTGTAGTATCTTAAAATCTCATCACTACTAACTGGGAGTTTTTATTGTTGTGTCTTCTCAATTACAGGCCTTGGTTTTCCTGATTGTCGGCATCATCTTCATGATTGGGAGCATGACTCTAATTGTCCTGGACTGGATATACAATTCTTCTGATTCCAATCAGCATTAATCAGAAAGAAAATAGATGCTTCTTCTTTTTTTTTCTGGAAATGGTTGAATGCCATCATCCAAAAAGAAAAAAAACTTTTGACATACAGAAGAGGACATTACTTCTAGTTGATCTCTGCAAAATTCCAAAGACTTTGCTAGTAATACCACTAGGAGGAACCTATGGAATATTCAAACTTCCTTTAATAAGGGAGAGTTATTTATGCATCGAAGCCTGAGCCACACCTTTCTGGACCAGGTTAGGATAAAGAAAGTGTGCTAGTGGATGCACAAAGCTCATTATGTATATAGTCCTCAGAACAGACCGCTCCTGTTAATGTTTTTCCAAGAAGTAACCTGTTGTTCCTTCTTGTTAAAAAAGGGAGTACCACAGTTTTTAGAATTTTGAAAGACAACAGAGCTTACCTTCGTGCCTGTTTAACTTGCCAATGGGTAGGCTGTCTATCATATTTTGTACCCTTTTGGAGAAAAAAGACTGGAATATTTATTACTTGTTCAGAATTGGAAAGTCTCAAAATCTTAAACCTAGTTGCCAAACCATGTATATATGTATGTATAGTGTATACACATAGATACAAAAGGGAAGAGAAAATCAATGGAAAAATATTCTGTAAATGGTTGTCCATGAGGTTAATGGGTACAATCTAAGTAGAATTTGTAAGCCTAAATCCAGTTGTTAGTCCCATGTTCTTTAGTCCTGGAACTCACATTAATGTTGATCTCCCAAGTTCCCATTGGTTAATTGGGACTCATGAAACTAACAATCGCTTTAAGCCACAAACAATATAGTGAAGCCCAACATTTCTAATTTTCTTTGTAAGCCAAAAAATGGTAACAAGAATGCCTACCATCAAATCTATGTTGTCATGCTCACTTTCAGAAATCTTATAAAATCATAGAATCATAGAGTTGGAAAAGACCTCGTGGCCATCCAGTCTAATCCCCTGCCAAGAAGCAGGAAAATCTCATTCAAAGCACCCCTTTTATACTGCATCTTTGCAGTATAAATGTGGCAACACAGATTAGTCACAACTGGTTTGGTTAACAGTCCAATCATCTTGCAGATTTATTCATTAGGAAAATGTTGCCAGGTCAATAAAATCATTTCTTGCCACATATGACTTTTAGAACCTTACCATTTGACATGGCAGTGCTTAAAAGTGAAAAAAAAGGATATTGGCCAGTCACTTATTAAATCTGGCCATGCTCTTTAAATGTATTCATAGCTGCAAAGCTAGTACTTGAACTCACTTTTTAAGTGGATGCCCATGTTGTAGTGTTGCAAATATTCTTTTCAGGTGTAATTTCTAGTTATAAGATTTAGAAGTGCTCAGAGTTTGGAAAGTTAATTTTAAAAGCCCCAAGAATGTTCCATTTGAATGTTTTGTATTCAGCAACATGTGACACAAGCACTTAAATCATATGATATACTCTTATTTTTTTAGTGAGAACTCACACCCCACATAAGAGTAACTAAAATTCTATGGTTTCACAGCAGATACAGGTTATCCCCCATTAAGTTATAATAATCATGTAATGTAGCTACACCCCCCCATGTATTGAGGACAGGACTTAATTGCAAGTATTTCCTGCCAAGCTACGGGAGCACTTACATGGTAGCTATGATCAACATGTTGGCAACCTCTACATCCCTGCTTAATATTGCTGGTGCCTAACATCATGATGAGAATCCCATGATAATCATATCTCATGGTAGCTTTCTTCAACAAAGCTGCCTCAAGATGTTTTGAACTGATAGGCATTGCAACACAAAGCATCTGGAAAAGCACTGTGCTGGGGAAGCCTGAGCTATGACAATATTTGAGGGGTTTTTATAGTGAGCAAACCCAAAGCTTTGAAAGTTGCTTTACAAAGCACATGTACATATATATGTGTGCACACACATACAGCCCCTAGTTAGTTATTTTCAATATATTTTAAAATCAGGATGCTATGAACCACTAGCCTGTGGTTCAACACACTTTCTCCCATCCATTTTATTGTCACCATAGCACTCGCAAATGAGCACAAGTTGCAGCTCAAGCCAGCACTTGAACAATGTGATTTTTTTCCTTCACCACTAAGTGAAGACATATCAGCACATAACTATAACAATAATATTAAATGGCTAAAGTTATCCCTTACTAAGCTGTCATATACTTATACTATACTGAATGAATTTCAAATATCTAGTTGTTTTGTGCAACTATTTCCAAGTTCTGAGCAAAATATATATAGGTTGAGCATCACTTGTCCAGAGTTTCAAAGTCCAAAAGTATTCAGAATCTGAAATTGTCCACAATGATGGCTGAGATGATAATTCTCTTAGTTTTTGATGGTTCAATGTACACAAACTTTGTTCCATGCCCCAAATCATTAAAAAATACTAGATATAGTTACCTCCAGGCTATGTGTATAAGATATATATTAAACATAAATGAATTTTATCTTTAGACCTGGGTCCCAACTCCATGGTATCTCACTATGCATGTTTATGCAAATACAAGTTTTCCGAAATCTGGAAAATCTGAAATCCAAAACACTTCTGTCCCAAGCATTTTGGATAAGGGATACACAACCTGTACATCCAACTTGAAACATGGTTCTATAAATGTCATTCTATTTTGACTGAAAATACTGAATAAACTGGATCCCTGTTTGTAGTTTGTCTTCCACTTTAGCTCGGATATAAGGAGATCACAAGAAATGTGAAATCACATTAACCAGTATTGTTCAATGCATTTTTATTTGATAGAAAGGTCAGTGCAGGAAACTGTGATCATTGCTATGTATGTACTATATAAATATTTATGTATATAATCTTATTCTATCAAATGTCACATTATGATACAGTGTTTTAATTTTTATATATCTATTGTGTAGTTGTTTTCACAAGATTTGTAGCATTTTGAAGAAAAAGCTGTTTCGATGGACTCAGAAAGGTTTGACATATAACTGCTTGAAATTTCACTTGTGAAAGTCCAAAAGGTTGTCCAAGCAGAATGAAATGGCCAAACATGTTGTTAAAGAGAGTTACAACAATAAATTTCAAGAATTCAGGGTTGCTATCTGTGTTTGCCAATTTTTTGTACTAGATCAGTTATTCCCAATCTGTGGTCTATGGACCACCAGTAGTCCACAAGAAGAAAAATATAGTCCATAGCCTAACCTTTATTACACTGTTGCCTCAAAACCACATGGCAATGATAGCGACTGGTCTCGCGAAACCATCTTATAGTGCCAAGGCAACGTGGATGTCGGGAGGGGAGAGATTATAACTACTGCATCATCTCTAGATTATGAAATATAGTTTTATGTGGGCGAGCAGATGGTGGCTACTGGATGGCATGTGTTCTGTATCAGAAACTGGAGCTGATGTGATCTATCCAATGCAATTTTCTGAATCGGCACCAAACCGAATCTAAATAACCAAACCGAATCTAAAATTGACCAAAAACTGTGATTCGTAACCCTTTTGATACTGATATTAGAGAGTGGTCCCTAGGCAAAGTGGTCTCTGATCAGATGGTCCCTGGTCAAAAAAAGTTGTGAACAACTTTACTAGATTCTACTTTATACTGAGATAGGCCACACCTACTGACCAACACTGACCTCTAATTCCATTTGCTGCCAAGTATTGCTAAGTCTGCCATTAAACCACAGATAGGCAGCGGTGTTTCCTAGAGCTTTTTACTTGCTCACCCGGAATCACACCACAAAACCTTGTTCTATTAAGCCATACCACCCAGAAAAATCACCAAAAAAATAACAAAGCACAAAGTTTTGAACATTATTTCTGGCTCCATTTTCACCTGATTTTTGAGTAAATTAGCTCACTGTCAAGCATGGGGGTGAAAAGTGATCTTTCCACACATAGCGCCCCCCCCCCCCCCCCCCCCGGTTATTGCCCCTCTATTACACTAAAGGGAAACATAGGTAAAGGTAAAGGTAGTCCCCTGACATTAAGTCCAGTCATGTCTGACTCTGGGGTGTGGTGCTCATCTCCATTTCTAAGCCAAAGAGCCAGCGTTGTCCGTAGACACCTCCAAGATCATGTGGCCGGCATGACTGCATGGAGCACCGTTACCTTCCCGCCGGAGCGGTACCTATTGATCTACTCACATTTGCATGTTTTCGAACTGCTAGGTTGGCAGAAGCTAGGGCTGACAGCGGAAGCTCACGCCGCTCCCCAGAATCGAACCTGCGACCTTTCGATCAACAAGCTCAGCAGCTCAGTGCTTTAACCCACTGCACCACCGGGGGCTCATAAGGGAAACATAAGCACATGCCAATGGTACATTGACATGGCTGATATATCTTTTGCAAGTCACTGCCTTGCATTATCAAATTATGGTCAGATGGGTCTGATGGTAGATTTGTCATGTCTCTAGACATATGATCCTGCCAAATTTAAGCACATTTCAACCCCATAGAGACTGTGTTCATGTCTGTATTGTGGGAAAGACTGAAGAATGGGGATCACCGGGTGGTCTTTGGACAGTCATGTTTTTCAGCCTCACTTGGCTCACAGCCATGGAAAGCCACATCACAGACCCTCAGCATTAGAGGAAATCAACGATGGATGCCTTCTTGCCATAAGTAGTGCCAAATTCACTGATACGTCAGTCTGACCTTACATTATGAATAGTTCTGTCCATGAAACCCTAAGATGGGGCTACCATAAATCAGAGTCTAATCGAAGGGACATAGAAACAATGGTGAACAAAACCTGCGTCAGGAGATGTAGCTATGATGATATAGCTATTTCTGTAACTACACTGCCTGGTGAATCTGAGGTCACTTAAGCAGAAATGCTCCAAACTAACCTCAGAGATGACCACATACACCCTTTCAATCTACAGCAATGAGGGGTTGGAGTCTACACAGTCTAGTCTGGCTAAGTCCACATTAGCCCCACTGCATCATCACCTCTCTGTCTGCACTGTTGCCACTCCCAGCCAGCCACTAAGCTCCATGAAAATTAGCCGTCATGGTTGCCCAATGCAGATATCAGCAGAGGTTCCTGTGTGACCAATAAGGAGAAAGCCTTCTTCCCCCACCTTCTTCCTGGTTTTGTGGGCATCTCTGCTGATGTCACTGCCCTGGAGTTATGGGGATACTGTGGAGTTTCAAAAGAACTAGAGCATCCCATGACTTCTACTAATGTGGGACTAAGTCAGATGCTTCCCAGAAATTGAGAAATGTCATGAGGATAGCCAGGAGCCTGCTCAGGGCCCTTCCACACAGCCATATAACCCAGAATATCAAGGCAGAAAATCCCACAATATCTGCTTTAAACTGGGTTATCTGAGTCCACACTGCCATACATTCCACTTCAAATCAGATAATATGGGATTTTCTTCAGCTGTGTGGAAGGGGCCTTAGAGTGAATCTGGGTTATAATGCCTGCGTAGACAAGCCCTATGTCTCCCAGTGCTACATTCCCAAATCTATCATTTAGGCATATCACCTCTACCTTTCTTGTGGACTTTGTTTATTGAAGAATAAGTAAGAATGTGTTCAGTTCTTTGGCTGCAGCTGTCTGCACTGTGAAAGGCAACTTCAAGGGGTACAGCATACTGTTGCGGGACATCCAGCTCCAAGAAAAGAGCTGGACACATCTCCACTCATCTACTCATTCTCTGGCAACATGAAAACCCCTATGTTGGAGGTTTCATTGCCTAAAAGTTAATTTTGAAGGGACTTTAGGCTGTCCATAGCTGAAAGAGGCCTTTGACTGGCACAACTTTTAGTGAACTGTGACAGTGGGAGTCAAACTTAGCATGAACAGAATGCCAACCAGTATTTAAATTTCAAGTAATTCTAATCTTTTTATATCTATTTTTAAATATAAATAGCCTTGAAGAAAGCCAAGGTTTGGCCTCTGAACACTTGGCCAATGTGAAAAATGGACTCTAGTCCTATGACATTTGCCCTCCTGTACTCGATGCATTGCATATTCCTTGTGAATCGCACCACTCTCAGAGGTGGACTGTTAAGCAGACTGACACTTCAAATGCTCCAATAACAGTTTATTTAATATCCTGCCACCACAAAGAATCAACCAGTTTGAGTAATCAGATCAGTTTGACTCAAGGCAACTTACAACATAGGCAAAAATTCAATGCCTTAAAACAATTCAACAATAAATAAACATTCAGTTAAAAATCTAAACAAGATTAAGCACAATTAAAATATAAACATTACCACTAACTGCTATAAATACTACATTATCCACAACCAAGATAGGGCCATTTCAATTATCGTTACACATAAATCCAAATCCTCCATTGCACTACATTAGTTGCCAAAGGCTTAATCCCAGAGTCATGTTTTAGCCTTTTTTCTGAATATCGGGAGGGAAGAGGCTTATCTGATATCGTTAGGGAAGGAGTTCCACAGTCAAGGAGCCATCACTGAGAAGGTCCTGTTTCTCATCCCCACTAACTGCGCCTGCGAAGGAGGCGGGACTAAGAGCAGGGCCTCCCCAGATGATCTCAATCTCCAAGATGATTCACAGGGGGATATACGTTCAGACAGGTAAGCTGGGCCAGAACCTTTTAGGGCTTTATAGTTAAAGCCAGCACTTTGAATTGTGCTTGATAGCAGATTGGCAGCCAGTGTAGCTGACGCAACAGGTGGCTTGTATGCTCCCTGTGCGCTGATCCAGTGAGCAATCTGGCTGCCACCTGTTGGACCATTTGGAGCTTCTGATCAGTCTTCAAGGGCAACCCCACACAGAGCGTGTTGCAGTAATCTAACCAGGATGTAATCAGAGCTTGGACCACACTGGCAAAGTCTGATTTTAATTGTGCAAAAGCTCCCCTGACTACCGCTGAAACCTGGGGCTCCAGGCTCAGTGATGAGTCCAGGAGAACTCCCAGACTGTGAACCTGTGTCTTCAGGGGGAGTGTATAGGGTAACACAGTCTGTTACCCTATACATCGTTCAGCCTTACGGCTGACCAAGAAAACCTCTGTCTGGTCTGGATTCAATTTCAATTTGTTTGCCTTCATCCAGATCGTCACAGCAGCAAAGCATCAGTTCAGCACCTGAACAGCCCCAACAAATTTTAGAAGCCTTTAGCCTTCTCTGCCAAAGAGTGCTGGCGCCTCACAAAGCTACAACTTCCAGTATTCCATAGCATGGAACCATTGCAGGTAAAGTGGTGTCAAAATGCATCCAGCCCACAATGTAGATGCACCCACAGTTGTATGATACATCTTCATCTCTCACTGCAGCATCTCAGCCTTCTTGTTAAGCCACACTGATTACACATTTGTAGCATTTGAATATACAGTGAAAACTACAGGTATTGTGTTTGATAATCTACAGTTATCTACAAACATCTTGCAGTTTGAAAGCTGTGCGTAAATTTTATTTCATGCAAGGGTTTGACATCCGTTTCCTGTAGCAACCTGATGAAACCTTAGAATGAAGATGAATTCCACTGTTGCAATGCTACCCTCTGCTGGAAATTCTAGATCATTTCTGGGAAAACATTTGATGCAGAATATGCTAGAAACATGTTATTTAATGATTGATGGATGCAACTCCAAATCTCCTCATTATTTCCAGTCATACAACTGATATTAATAAATCAAATAATTAAACATTCATATTAGTCGATGAGTCCATTTATAAATAATTAGTGTTATTATCTAGGCCTGAATCTAATTTGTACTACCAAATAGATGCAATGAATCAATTAAATTTCCATAATTGTTGACATACAAATTGCTCATTGACTCACTGGATCTACTCCAATTGGGACAATTGAATTTAGAACTTAACATTTAAGTTTGTGAGCTTTTGAAAAACTTGTAGCTCCATCCCACTGTTCTATGAGTTCTGATGAAGGCAAGGAGTGCATATCCCCAACTATCACAATTGATGGAATAGCCTTGATTTATCTTCTGTCATCTCACTTTTTCAGCTGTTTCAAAAATGTCCCAGTTTCTCTCTCCTTCCCTCAGTTTCCTCCTTCATACTTGGTTTACTTTATTTGCTGCAATTGAACTCTAAAAAAGTAGTTAGTACTTCATTAACTCAGGAGATGGGAGA